CCAGCCCCGAGCACGGCTCTGCCTTGTGGGAGCCCCCACGCTGTCCCCAAAAACCAGGGGCTGACCCACCATCCCTCCTGCCCTGGGCATGGTGGCCCCAAGCACGTCCCCAGGAGCTGGTAGGGCGCAGGAGCCTTCTCACTGCTCTGCCCTCCTTCCCGCAGGTTCCTGCACGGGATGGGGCAGGAAAGGACAACAAATAGAGAAGAACAACAGGACGGCGGGAGGCGGCTTCCCCTTTCCCACAGACAGCAGGGCTTCCTCCCACCACCTGCATCTTCTCACCCAGCAAAGACAGAGTCACCGGATTTATCCCGACCGCGAGGGGGATGAGGCTACAGGAAAACTGCAGATTCGTGGGAACGGCGTTGCAAGGATGCAAGAACTTGGCAGGACGACCTCCACAAACGCTTTACAGAAAAACCTTAATAACCTCAGTCACCACTGCAAGATCCATCAGACCACATCCAGACCCATCCCTGACCCCTGAAGATGTGTAAACCTCCATCCTCGCTCCAGACACACCAGCAGCTTTTGACTTGTTTATCCCAGCTAAACCAGCAACGCTTTGAAGAGACCAGGAGAAGCTGGACGTGGCTCCCAGCTCCCTGCGCTGGTGCCAGCAGGGCCAGGGAAAGCAGGGACCCTCAGGGCATCTCCTCCCAACCACACAGCCAGGCTCTGCTGCTCACATGGAGCCTGTCCCCCGCCTCGCAGCCGCCCTGGCTGGTATTTTAACTTCTCCTGGTCCCGGCACGTCTCATGGCGGGTAGCTTGGGCTCCCCAGCCGGAGCTGCTGTCCCAGTCACCTTTACTGAGGTGGCTCCAAAGGGGACAGGAGGCTGGCTGGGCTCCTTTCCCACAGGACCGGAGAAAACATCTGCTTAAGAAATGCCCAGCTTTTGACTTGTGGCTTTATTCCAGCTTGGGCTGTAAGGCTGCAAGCTGGGAATTCAGCAAAAACAAACTATTCCAAAAATGTCTCAGTGGGGAAAAAAAAATAATAATCATCATCATCATCATCAAAACAAAGCATTTGTACAATTCCCTGCACAATCTTACCCAAAATATCCCACCACATCCCTGCTGGCTGCCAGCTGGCTGGGAGGAGGCCTCCTCCCACTGGAAATGGTACCACAAGAGCCTTTCTGCACTGGGGTGGATGGATTTGGCCCATCTGGGAGGCCAAGGGTCACCGCAGACAGCCTGGGCTTTGCTGGGACACAGGAGCAGGCAGATGAGGGACGTGGAGGCTTCTCCTCTCGCTCTGCGTGACCCCATCCCCATTTAAGCAGCCAAAACCTGCAGCCTCCCTGCAAAGCTGCTGGTGGCCAGTTGTCCCCATGGCCCCACTGTGCCCCAGGCTGATGCCAAGCACACCCTCTCCACAGTCCCAGAGCACCGACTGTGCCCTCCCCGGGCGCCCAGAGGAAGGGGACATCACATGCCTGCCTTTTGCTGTCCCTAAATTGCAGCAGCCCGAGCTGCTCCCAGGCTGTCTGAGCATCTCTGGGCACTCAGCGAGCAGAGATTTGCCCCGCCAAGCACGGCACGAACTGCACAGCTTTCTCCATTGCCTCTCTCCCTGTGGACATCCCACTCAGGCAGCCATAGCAGACACCGGGAAGGTCGGCAGCTGGATCCTGCACCCTCCACCGATGGACTGCATTGCCAAAAAAAAACCCCTTTTGCTCCCCACAATGTTGCAGAGCCCATCACACCCCAACCCTTCTCTCTGACCGAGCCTTTGACAAACAGCAACAGAGGGAAAAAAGTATGGAAACTCCAGAACTGCCACAAGACATAAAGAAAAACCCCTCATATAGGGGCCCAGTCTGGACCTCAAACAGGCAGAGCTCACTTTGGAACAGCTCAAACCAGAACCCAAGCCTGGGGCTAGTACGCTGCTCAGGCTGTGAAAGCAAGAAGAACCAAACCCCCAAATTCAAGCTTTTCCTGCAGCATTGAAGCCCTGCATATCCTGGACTTCATGGATTAAACGAATCACCATCAATAAACAGCGTTGGAACAAGGAGAATAAGGATCAAATTGAAAACACTGCCCCACCACTGCAGGAGAAATATCAGCCCTGGGACCTTCCCTCGTCTTTCCACCCTTTGACTGTTTTGGGTGCCCAGGTTGGAAGGCAGCAGCGGAGGGGCCAGCAGGAGCTGCAGACCCGAGGGACCCCATGGCAGCGCTGGGGACAGCAGCTCTGCCAGCCAGGCTCCAGACTGTGTATGCCATGTGTCAGGACAGACCACACGTGGGTTTGACACAGGATCATGTTTAGGAGCCTCTTCCAGCTGGTCACACTGCCCTGCTCTACGCAGCAAGCGATGGGTCTGCTGCTACAACCAGGACGGAGAGCAAACAAGCAGGAGGCAGACCCTAAGGAAGTGCTCAAGTCCCCTAAGCCACTCACAAAAAATAAAAATGAAATTAAAAAAAGCAAAAATAAATGCGAAAAAGGGCAGGAGGGAGCAGAGAGCCAACTGAACGGAGACTGCAGAGGGGTGCCAGGCACAGACAAGGAAAGCGGACCAGGTTCAGAGCTCCTGGGTGCAGACACAGCTCTGGATGGAGCAGTTCCCTGGCACGGGAAGGGGCTCCCCGCTGTGCCCCAGTCGCTCTAGAATGACAAACTCAACCGACCACAAAACCATTGGGCAACCACCTCTTCCCAGCCCCACTCCACCCAACCTTGCCCTAACGTGGGCATCAGATCATTCATAATAACAATAGTAACAATCTGCAATACACACCTGACGTCCACTTTTCTCCTAAACGACAGCATGGCACGGAGGAGAGAAAAAAAAGAGTCAAGAGAGAAGCTGAGATCAGAGACACCATGCAAGCACAGGGGAAAGCACCCGTGAAGCTGAGGAGATGTGACCAGCCAAATGAGATGGAGCTATGCACTGATGGGGACAGGGGACCAGCAGGGATGTGGTCCCACATTGGAGGGCATGGACTGGCCAGCGACTAGAGGAGGTGGCTTGGTGACAAGGCTGCAAGGCAACGGTGACCAGCAGCAGGGCTGGGAAGGCATGGGAGCAGGCAGATGATCGCCTCCAACGCTGATGTCCTCGGACAAGTCACTGCATCCGTGCAAGTTTCGGCACATCCCCCTTTGAGCACCCACCCCCGGGAGAGCTGGCCCTGCCAGGGCTGGGCTCGGGGGCTCCGCAGGAGCGATGAAGGTGGCAGCTCACCCACGCGGGCTTGGCTGCGGGGACGGGGACACTCACGTGTTGTTGACGATTTGCAGGCGCTCTCCTTTCTTGAAGGACAAGTCCGTTTCAGTCCGGGATTCATAGTCGTAGAGGGCCACGAAGGTGGTGACTCCACCTGTGACAGAGAGCACTCAGGACGGGCACAGCCACCGG